TAGTGCTTGCCTGCTATCTGTATAGATAAGCATGTTTCTTCTAGTGATATTATTTTTGATAACTTATTTTGCTAATATGATAATTCGCGTGAGCTTGGTTTAAACTACACCCGCACTATTGCTAACAGCTCATGTGTAGGTTAGGGAATATGTAGTGTTGGAATTTGAATTACAGGCCTGGATGCAATTTCCAACTGGTGCGACCCTAAAGAACAATTATTAGCTAATTCAATACCCGTAGTACCATCTAGCGTAGTGTTCTCTCTTGTGACGAGCGCATTCCACACCTCTGCGCAGCTTAGGTGGTCATAAATGCTGGAAGTCAGACCGGCGCGCTAACTCTCGCTTGGCGACAGAACAAACAAGGCACTTTTTTGGTGTGCGCTGTCGCAGACAGTTACGAAAGCTTCCTGGGGCCACTTTTTTTATAAAAAAAAATATTATTATCTCGCAATTGTGACTTATTATCTCACAATTGCGACTTATTATCACGCAATTGTGACTTATTATCTCGCAATTGCGACTTAGTATCACGCAATTGTGACTTATTATCACGCAATTGCGACTTATTATCACGCAATTGCGAGTTATTATCACGCAATTGTTACTTATTATCACGCAATTGTGACTTACTATCTCGCAATTGCGACTTATTATCACGCAATTGTGACTTACTATCTCGCAATTGCGACTTATTATCACGCAATTGTGACTTATTGTCACGCAATTGCGACTTACTATCTCGCAATTGTGACTTATTATCACGCAATTGTGACTTATTATCACGCAATTGTGACTTACTATCTCGCAATTGCGACTTATTATCACGCAATTGCGAGATAATATTTTACAGCACCTTGTTAAATTTATTGCAGTGACATCTATGTAAAGCTGGTGAACGATGAACGTATCGATGAGGGCGTGGGGGAGGGGACTAAGAACTGAGACGATATGTTTGTTTATCGGTTTATCGCTATCCTAGATATTTGCATCATTCATTGCATTTCTGTTCTATATTATATTATGCCCTTTATGCGTTTTAAGTTCTCAAGATTACCGTGTACTGTACACTAAAGCTCCAGGTAAGTGAATACACAATTAATAATCAATTATTTAGTTTAAGTTTTATCGATGTTTTGCATTGTGATTGACAAATCACTATACAGATCAAAATAATAGGCCGAAAGCCAAAAGTTAACCTAACCTAACAAATATAAGAACGAAAAACAGGTAACCTACCTATAAATTTTTGTAGGTATTGTGATTGTGTTATGAATGTTTATAATAATAATCGTCTAGAAAATATTTATTTTTGGGAATTAGAACCTAAACATGAAATCTACGAGACAAACTACGTGGTAAACCATCCTAACGTTTGACACTATTATAGGTACTCTCCCTATAATAAAAAAATGTTTTTATTGGAAAAATCCCGATTTGAAACTCAATAAATACCTACATAGGTATGTTTAAAAGTAGAGTTAGCCAATTATTTCATGTTTTGTTAACGGTGCATTAAACAATTTCGACCTAACTTAAAATTTCAATAAAAATGCAAACAAAAATCAGGACCGGCTTTGATAATTTTCACTTTGTATTGTATTTATATGGTAAAAATATCCCCATAACGAACTATACGATTTTTAACGAACAGTTAGTTGTTTATATGGGAAAAATATATCGTAGATATAGGTAGGTACTTGGGTTATGTTGTAGTTGACGGGTCTAGAAATGCGCGCGTTCACACTACTCTGCACTGACGTCTAGAATTTGAATTTGCACAAGCCACGTTGCCAAATCTCCACTTTCATTTCAGCTTGTTTTATTTTATAGTTTATTTTTCAACCAAATTGTAACCTCTGTACATTAAAATGTATGATAAATAAATATAAAGATTTGTATTATATTTTGAAATAACAATTCTGTTTTGTTTTATAAGATAGTTTTGATAGATTTTTGATTTAAATTTTGTAATTATCACCATTGAAAGGTATTATTCACATTAAAAAACGATCGTATTACTTGAAAATCTTCAGAACATTTTTTTATTTTTATGGGTTTTTTAATCGATGTAAAAATTGGTAAATAGATGATTAAAAGTAAAATAGTTATTTCAATATGCTTATTCCCTGGTTCCAAATAATTAAATATAACCTGGCAACTCCGTAACGGTTCCGACTGGCAGAACTAGCCGGAACAGGAATGGTGCGCACTGGCCCATTTCCAGACCCTTCAACTGCAACATAACCGGTACTTGTAGGTAGTGAAGGAATATAGCTCGAACTATAGCTCTGTCGAGACTGCCAAAAAGCTTTTTGCTCAAATTACACACAAGATTTTATCTACGATCACACCAAAATAAAATAAATAATTTTATATTATTAGAAATGGATTACGTTCTTTCGTTATAATAAGTATTGTAAGTTTATTTGACGTAAGCCTACTCTTCGAAAAGAAAAAATTGTTTAATTTTCCTATAAACGTCCCAGTTTTTATTCTACAGGGTGACAAAGTGAATTTCATAAATACATATTTTCTAAATATCTTCCCCTATATACAGTAAAGACTTTGACTTAAAAATATGTATATAATAGTTAATCGTTATTATTAGTTAACACTCTATTTAGATAAATTACCATAACCCATTGGCGTAAAATGAAGGGCCAAAGAAACAATTTTATTCAAAACTCTTTAAATATCCTACATTTCATAAAACTTAAGATTAATAAATATTTCTCACGCCATTTGTCAAAAAAAGGGACTTCTGGTTTATCTTTGTAGACCATTCCATTTTCGAGTTGATAAAATTGATTTATTTTATACAGAGTGTTTTGAAACATGTCTTAACATGGTTAATTTTAAGTTCAATTTACTCAGTTTTGTCAAATGCAACACACTGTATATTATTTTCGCATAAAATTCCTTATAAATTTACCTATCCAACTATACTAACATGTCCCAATAGTGCGTAATTGATCGATAGCTGTTTTATTATTGGAAAAACAAATTAATATAAAAGTTTTTTGACCAAATTTAATAAATATTCTTAAATATACAGTGTGATCCATAAACGAGGGGCTGACCAAACTTATACATTTTTATATTTGTTTTCACATCGTCAAACAACTTTAATAGACTTCATTTATTTGCTATCTTTTATAGGGTGTTCCAAATGAGGGGTAATGACTTTCTAAATTTTTTAAATGGAATACCCTTTATGTCATACCACCAATTAATTAATACAGGGTATTCCATTTAAAAAATTGAGAAAATCGTAACCTCGCTTGTTTGCTTGTCAATAACACAAATTGAAATTTTAACCAATTACGCACTAATGGGACTCTGTATATAAATTTTAATTTTCAATTAGCAGGAATATTATTATTTTAGATGGCAATGTATTAAAAACTCTTTGTTTTATTGTATTTATTTTATCTCTCTATTTTTGTTTAATATAACGTTTAAAAAATATTGATATTGACTAAGGCTTGTGGGGGGTAATTACTCTTATTACTCCCGTTATCTACGCCCTTGGCGTCTGGCCGGCCCGTGAACCTGGCTCCTGACTTTTAACGAACGTATCTTTGTCGAGTGCATCTAATAATAAGAAAATACACAACAAGGAGAAGCAACGGCTTTTTGAAGGGTGGCAGCTTTGCCGCCACCAGAAAATGTATACCCATATCTGGCTACGCCAACTGACATAGACTCCAACGGCCTGGACACAGCATGAATTAAAATAATTACTACAAATTTTTTCACTTCGGAAGCAAAGTTCACCTGCAAGCCAGAAGCCAGTATTGAAAAGCAGCCACTGTCATTCCTATCATATACGTTTTCTTACTATGTTTAGCAATCCCGCTTTTAAATAAATAGAAATGTTATATCCATAAACAAAATCTAATATCATTATTTTTATTTCAGAATTTTAAAAACCAAAATTAAAGAATTATAAACGATTACGAAATTTTTTTATATGGTTTATTGCTATATCGATAGTCTAATATTGTTATTTAGCCTTTTGTACAACAATACTTTTTTTTTTTATGGTCGAGACTGAACAACACATTTTAATGATTTTTAGGTACAAACAATTTTTTAAGTGTCAGCGGACCCTAAATAGTTATATGCAGTGTGTTTCAAGGCATCTACAAGTTTTCTGTAAAATAGTAATATCCGCCGTTCATGTTTCGTGGTATATTTCCAAAATTGTAAATAATCTAAGCCGGTCCTAATTTTTGTTATAAATTTAATTTTTATTACAATTTAAAATTAGGCCGAATCTATTTATTTAATGTACAGTTAACAAAACAAATTGACTAACTCATAATTTTAAACATATTTGTTGTCTGATTTTCAAATAAGAATTTTACAATAAAAAAAAAATTATAAGGGGAAGTGTTATTTTTTCAAACGATATGATAGTTTTCTCCTAATTTAGACATAAAAAGTACAGTTTTCAACTGGTGTAGGCCGTAGCAAATGAGTATCATTTCTTGCTCGTTAGACAATATTATCTCTGTTTTTCCTGAGCACCGGAAAAATGTACCGGTTTTTTTTATCTCATTTCTATGACAGCCTATATAAACCCAAGTGTACCTTCGTTTCGTACTGAAAATATCCGAAGTGATATTTACTGGGTAAGAGTAACGACAAATCGTTGGTAGGAATAGCAACTAAACATGATATATTTTACAATTTCTGTAATCGATAGCTAGAGTTATATTTAGAATTCTATGTGCACAAATTTCTAAAAACCGATTTTCCTCTAAATCTTTTTATTATTTTATACTCTAAGTTTATTAGGTTTTTCATAAAACTAGTTCTACATTCGATAAAAATAACATTGAAAGGAGCCCACTTTAGGCTTATATAGGGATGTAAAGGGTATATTAAAAATAATATTTTTGCGGAATCTACAATAGAAAGTTTTTTGTTCTATTTATAAATCGTTAAATTAGAATAGCAATAAATTTATAATTATATAAAATATTTTGTAGGTATGAATGAAGAAAGTCAGTTTTTAAGCTGCTATGGTGACAGATTAGCCGTAATGAATTTTTGTCGCCAATATAACAAAATTCCATCGAATCGTAAAATGCAACTTATAGACAAACTGCAAAGAAAAATAACAGGACAGTCTTCTAAGGAGCAGGAAAGAAAAAGAGAAAAAAACAAACGAAAAATTGAAGTGGGTTGGCATAATTGGAATGAAGGCGAACATAAATATAAACAAGTCCGCATGAACACTGGAGGTGGAACAAGAAGAATTTTGTTGCCAAAAATGGCTAAGAGAGACGAAATCTTAGAAAAAGCCAAAAATCTTTTTTTTCCAAACGGAAAGTCTTCAAGGGGAAACCTGTCCGAGTTTAAAATTGACATTCAAGATTTTACGGGAGAATATATTAGTCAGCATGAAACAGTAGATGATATGTACCTGAATAGAGGTGTAACAATTTTACGTTTCTATTTAACGTCTAAAAAAATCCCGTGCACTGTTACCTCGGATCAAGGCATAGATGAAAATTTAGACGGACATTTAAAACAAAATGCCAGAAAAAGATAAATATTACCTAGTAACTCTAATACTTCACCCCAAAAAACCCTAACAGACCTTACTAATATTGGATTGGATTGTGCAGATATATGGACTGCCGAGTCATTTGATATGGAGCTGCCGGATTTTAACGAAAATGAGGCAATAATAGGTAGTACACCATCATTGACTGGCTAGGGAATAATGAAGAGACTCCTGAATCACAAACTAAATTATTAACTCTTCACCGTGGAAACATTTTTCAAGAGTTATTATTAATGTTTAAAGAATTTCAGCAGCTTCCACTAAACGTAAAAATTAAAATGATTGCCACAAACGGAATTGAGGAAAATGGAATTGATTTAGGAGGTATTTTAAGAGATACGCTATCAGAGTTTTGGAACACGTTTTTTGAAAAGTGTACCGTTGGTTCTGGCACAAAAGTACCATGCATTCGACATGACTTTGGCAAGAACGAGTGGGAAGCAATCGCCAAAATTTTATGCTTCGGATATAAAACAGAGAAATATTTTCCCTATAAACTATCTAAATGTTTTATAATTTTTTGTTTTTTTAACAAGGTTTCGGATTTATCAAAAAACTTTCTTCTTTTTGTTGGCAGTGCTGATTCTGACATTATAAAAGAAGCGCTCAATTGTTTGTCAAATGAAGACGAATTTGAAAATATGGAAGAGTTAATTGATATTGTAAGTAGATACGATTCGAAGTTTTTGCCTACAAAACAGAATTTAAAAAAATTACTAGATGAAATTGCTCATAAAGAGTTTATTCAAAAACCCAGTTATATTATAAATCTATGGAAACCAATTTTCAAGAATTTACTAAGTGAGGAAGATATTGAAAATATTTATAAAAAGTGTACACCAACTTTTAGAAACATAAATGACAATTTGTGTCTACCCAATACACTCACGAAAGAAATGATAAATACATATGAATATTTAAAGGAGTATCTACGAGAATGTAACGACGATATGAGAGCAAAATTTTTAAGATTTTGTACTGGAGCTGATTGTCTTATAGTGAACTCACCTATAGCAATTCAATTTACAAATCTCGATGGCTTCCAGAGGCGACCAATATCACATACATGCACCTCGACCTTGGAACTACCAACAACATATAATAACTTGCCGGATTTTAGAGAAGAATTTAATTCTATTTTAAATGCCAACTTTTGGAATGTTGAAATTGCCTAGTCTGAATATAATAATTCAAAATTATGTTTTATTTTTGCAAAGAAAATATTCTTTTATTTTTTTTTTATTTTTTAATTGTTTTTTAATGTTATGTTTATTAATGTTTATTTTTGTTTATTGTATAATTTGGTGTATGTACTACCAAAAAACAGTAATTTTTACCATTTTTTTTTGTATGACAGGAGATTAAAAATATTGATATTATACTTCGGTAGGATCAATTAATTGTTCAACAGTAACCAATCCCCTCAGTCAACCAAATTAAAAATACTGCAGTTTCAAGCATACCTACGTGTCATTTATTTCCCGTTAGTAGTGGTAAATATCTTAAGTTTCTATTTGGCCTAAAAATGCATTACTCACAAACATTTATTTCGTTTTCCATTAAAGACTGTTTTCTATTTGTTTTTTTTTTTTAGTGATAACGTCATGGTTTCAATACTAATATTTATCTGTTTCACTTTTTAATAGACTCTTTGCATTGAATGTTGATATGTATTTAAATTTGTTATTTCAAATATTACATCACTGTGTACATAGATGTGGTTGATTGTATAACAGCAGTGCTTCACAGTGAACAAAGTTGCATTTTGTTTAAATTGCTATAATTTCAACAATTTTGTTTTTTACAACTATACTGGTCCTTACAAATTAAATAGTATAAGATATTCGTTATTTATATACGATATATTTTCAGAAATTTAACTTCAATAGGAAAGATACAATATTAATAAAAAAATAGGATTATTTTCTTTTGAACAATTGCCTATATAATGTTTGTTTTTTTTTATAAATTTTAAAAGTACCTAGGTAAGTTAAAAAATTATCAATAAAAAAAACCAAAGTAGTTATGTGTATTACTTTATTGCATATTAATATTTAAAGAAGTTACATAAAATTGTTTCTAAATTTTGTTTTATATCCCCATTTAAGAGTCATGGCTAAATTATGTTAAATTCATTAAGTAAGTTGTAATATTTCAATAATAATTATGTAAATAAAAAATATAAAAACTCTGCCTTTATATTCATTTCTTTTACTCCATTATATCAATTATGATATCTCTTAAATTAACATATAAATCTACAAGGCTGTATGGATCATCACTAAACATAAAATTATTTTCATTCATTAAGAGTGTGCATAATTCAAAAAGATCATTATCGCAGATAGTTTCTGGAAAATTTGCTTCATTTTTGCAGGCTTCAAAATCGATGATGTTGACTGGACACAGGAAGTCCTTTGTGTTAAATGTCTGGGGGTTTTCGAACATAACAACTGGCCTTCCATTTTGACAAACACTTTGTCTACTTCTGGTTATACGGTGGCAATTTCATTCCCTCACAACGGTGTTTAACTCCTTCTGTAATAAAAATGTACAAACTTAATTTAGGTGGATTTATCTTTATTTACAAAATTAATTTAGTTGGATTTATCTTTATTTTCTAAAAAAAGTGAGGCTCAAAAACTGCCCCTTCTAATATTCATGTATATAGGAAAATTGTTTTTTTTTATATAAAAGTTGGTGCTTCTCTTAAACCCCATATTACCTCAATTAATAAAAAATAGAACGTAAGAAGGAAAGACAAAGTATTAAATGAGTTCAAGTTATTACCCATTATTGGATTCTATGCGAAGTATAAACTTTATAAGATAATTTTTTCTAGGAAATAAGAATTAAATAGAATAAATAATTTTCACCAATGTGACAATCTTATTACTTGGAAAGAAAACTCAAAGTCATTTACCACAGAATTTTTAAGAACTGTTTATACAAGCGGCTACTAGTTTCAGCCTCTACGCGCCATCATCAGACAATAAAAATGTATTATAAAAATTAAGTGTAGGTCAAAAATTCATTATCTCAAATACAATATTCTATTAGAATTTGTCTGAATGTGTGGTAATTAAAGTTTAAAAACCAAGACATGGCAAAGGTAAACGGGGGTTGAGAAATGGAGAGAGAAAAATTAAAAAAGAATGCTAGGTAGGAAAATTGTTAACTGGAGTTAATTAAGAAAGAGTGAGAAAAGAGTTAAAAATAATTAATAGAACCGTTTCCTGGTAAATACCTATATATGTATGACTACCAGGAATCAATTCTATGAGTTATTGGATTGAAAAGAGTGTACCTATAGAGACAAAAGGGATAACAGAGAAAAGGGGTGTAAGAATTCTTTTTATTGCCCCTTTTTCTCCACACTCTTCAGCCCATTAGCTTATAGAACTGATTCCTAGTAGTCTGTGAATCTTCTATTTATGTAGATTCTTTCTTCTTTAAGATACTAGAAATCGGTTCTATTAACTATTTCCCACTCGCTCTCTTCATTAATCGAGTTCTTCTCAATTCCATTTTACCTTAATCGCAAATTTTCATGGTTCAGCTTAAGTAATTTTCAATTACAACAATCATTAAAAATTCTGTAGTAAATGACTTTGAATTTTCTTTCCTTATAATCAACTAGCTGTTGCCCGCGGCTTTGCTCGCATGCAGTCGTGTTATTAATATAAAAAATACATGACTTCCTTTTTTTATTAATTTTTGTTGATTTTCATTCATTTTTTCATATTTATTTTTATTTATTTTTACTCATTTTTATTTATTTTTATTCACTTTTATTAATTTTTATTAATTTTCATTAATTTTTATTAATTTTTATTAATTTTTATTAATTTTCATTCATTTTTATTTATTTTTATTCATTTTTATTATTTTTATTCATTTTTATTCATTTTTATTCATTTTTATTCATTTTTATTCATTTTTATTCATTTTTATTCATTTTTATTCATTTTTATTCATTTTTATTCATTTTTATTTATTTTTATTCATTTTTATTCATTTTTCTTTATTTTTATTAATTTTTATTAATTTTTATTAATTTTTATTTATTTTTATTCCTTTTTATTTATTTTTATTCATTTATATTAATTTTTACTAATTTTTACTAATTTTTAATAATTTTTAATAATTTTTAATAATTTTTAATAATTTTTAATAATTTTTAACAATTTTTAATAATTTTTAATAATTTTTAATAATTTTTAATAATTTTTAATAATTTTTAATAATTTTTAATAATTTTTAATAATTTTTAATAATTTTTAATAATTTTTAATAATTTTTAATAATTTTTAATAATTTTTAATAATTTTTAATAATTTTTAATAATTTTTAATAATTTTTAATAATTTTTAATAATTTTTAATAATTTTTAATAATTTTTAATAATTTTTAATAATTTTTAATAATTTTTAATAATTTTTAATAATTTTTAATAATTTTTAATAATTTTTAATAATTTTTAATAATTTTTAATAATTTTTAATAATTTTTAATAATTTTTAATAATTTTTAATAATTTTTAATAATTTTTAATAATTTTTAATAATTTTTAATAATTTTTAATAATTTTTAATAATTTTTAATAATTTTTAATAATTTTTATTAATTTTTAATAATTTTTAATAATTTTTAATAATTTTTAATAATTTTTAATAATTTTTAATAATTTTTAATAATTTTTAATATTTTTTAATAATTTTTAATAATTTTTAATAATTTTTAATAATTTTTAATAATTTTTAATAATTTTTAATAATTTTTAATAATTTTTAATAATTTTTAATAATTTTTAATAATTTTTAATAATTTTTAATAATTTTTAATAATTTTTAATAATTTTTAATAATTTTTAATAATTTTTAATAATTTTTAATAATTTTTAATAATTTTTAATAATTTTTAATAATTTTTAATAATTTTTAATAATTTTTAATAATTTTTAATAATTTTTAATAATTTTTAATAATTTTTAATAATTTTTAATAATTTTTAATAATTTTTAATAATTTTTAATAATTTTTAATAATTTTTAATAATTTTTAATAATTTTTAATAATTTTTAATAATTTTTAATAATTTTTAATAATTTTTAATAATTTTTAATAATTTTTAATAATTTTTAATAAAATACAAAAACTCTAAAACACGTCATTATTAATTTGTATTCATTAGCTGCAATTCCAATTTTCATGTTTCTAACTTTAAAGAGAACCAAAAACATGAATACTCCCAAATAAATTTTCACCCCCCATTTCCCCCCTTAAAATGCGAAAATCCAAAAACCCTGAAACAAGTCATTAATAATTTGTAGTCAGTAGCTGAAATTCCAATTTTCATGTTTCTAACTTCAAAGGGAACAAAAAAAATCAATGGTCCCATACAAACTTTCACCCCCCGTTTCCCTCCCTTAAAATGTGAAAATCGAAAAACCCTGAAACACGTCATTATTTATTTATGCTTAGTAGCTGTAATTTAAATTTTCATGTTTCTAACTTTAAAGAACAAAGAGTTTCATTAAAAGCTCCCTCCCCCCATTTTGTCCAATTTCCCCCCTTTAAAGTTAAAATTTTGAAAAATCCTTTCTTAGCGGATGCTTAAGTTATAAAATAAACTTATGTCCCAAATTTCAGCTTTTTAGGCTCAGTAGTTTTGGCTGTAGGTTGATAGGTCAGTCAGTCAGTCAGTCAGTCAGTCAGGACAAACAATTTTATATATATATATATATATATATATATATATATATATATATATATATATATATATATATATATATATATATATATATATATATAGATAATATGATTGACACAAAGTTTTCAATTACTGCGATTACTATTATTATTATTATTATTTTGAAATATAGCTGAAATTCATATGATTTTGGCAAAATATTTGAGAATGGATAGGTACTTACTTGAATTATATTCATAAAACAAAACTGCATTAACCCCTTATTCAGGAAGGATCCAGAAAAATGTCCACTTTCTTTGAGCTCTGAAAATAGGTTCATCCAATATTGCGAACAGTGTTTCCTTAGTATACCCCACCAAGACTCGATGCGTTGATTACACTGACTGGTTCCATAGATGAAACTATTGTCATATGAAAATTGATCTTCATTGTCAACAGCAGTTCTTCTCAAAAATTTTTGCATTTGTTCTA